TCCAGTCCATCTCTCTCTGTGCTTCTCTCCCTCACTCACACCTCCACAGGCCTGGCAGGACAGTCTTTGCCAATTTGTTTGTTATGTCCACCACTGTTCATTTGCATAAGACATGGAATGGGATTTCATTTTGGTGCAAATGACATGAATTCTCAGTTCAGCCATGTGTGATATGGGTACAATGAGACAGCAGATTCCTTTCCCTTCCGTCTCCAGTACTTTAATAATATTTTGTCTGACATGCATTGAGGATTTTAAGAGGACATGACAATATTACATTACATGTTCAACTTTGACCAATCACAGTGGAGGAGGGGCGGGACTAATTCCACACCGACCAACCGCCACATCATTCTTGTTCAACAGCAACAGACGACAACAAGAAGCACAACAACAGAACAAAATCATTTAAAACAAGGGCCAGAGCAAGTATTTTATATTGTGTCAACATTTGTATATTCATAAATAAACTATCTTCAAAATCAGATACTAGTTACCCTTCCGCGGATATTCCGTATCATAGCAGCCAAAGCGTCTCAACTGAAAAAAAAAAAAGCGCTGCACTCTCAAGCGCTCACAGCTAGGCGTTTTCAGCAGAGCTACTGGCGTTTTACAGCTGGCTAAACACGCTTTTGTGGACACATGACCTAAGACATGTTCCTGGATCAACATGTTTTGTTGATCCTAGAACAACATTTCTGTCCAAAAACATAGTCCTATCCCTATATCTACCCCTAAACCTAGCCCTACCCATAACCCTAAATCAGAGGAAATGATAGGTGAATAGGAATGGTGTAGAAGCCCCTAACACTTGTTGTAAGCCTACATTTGACATTAATGTATTTTTGCTAGTACTTGCTTCAAATGTCTGAAACCTAAAATAAGCATTATTGACAGCACTGAATAGTTGTGATAATATGACACGAGCTCAGCGTGTCCATCTCTGGCTCAGCGCCAGCCAAAGCGTGACAGCAGATTTGAATTCAGCAGTTGATCACGTGACACACTGATCTTTCTAATCACACCGGTGTGATCGTACACGTCAAAGAGTTATAAACATGGAATAAAATGCGTGTATGTATGTATATAGATTGCACTACATGTTCATTTGCTTATTTGGCTCGAGTGCATGATCTATTAAAGTCCACATGTCATATTAACAAGAAACTGCTTCTAACAGGTTGAGAGCTGTAGTTCTGAACATTCACTGGAACTATGGATTCATGAAACAACAAATCGTTGAACTGTTTTGTAATGAAGGAACTTCTGACAATAACTGGCAAACAATGCTTTTGAGAAACGTTCCCCTGATTGGCTAAATACACAACTTTTTAAAGTATGTTTTCTGTAACTAGCTGCATCGTATGAATTCATTTTCCCCCCATGCTGGTCTATTCATTTGGTTTTCATATTAATGCATAAATATAATTTTTTTTAAATTGATCACTTAACATGTCGGTCACATGTTTTGTCCAAGTGGGTGGTTATTGGCCAGAATACGACATGATCTGGCAACCATGTGCACGCGCTCTCTCTCCACTGTGGATAAACGCTCTCTTGCTTTCTGAAAACAGCGGTTAGCTTGCAGTTTAGCGATCTCCACTATTCCCAGAAAAGTGTGAATTCATCAACTGTTCATTTATGAGAGAGAGAGAAAGGGAGAGCGAGAGCGTATCGTATCGTGACTTTGCTGGTGATACACAGCCCTAATGTAGACCAGACTTCATGCCACAAGTCAAAAGTCTTGCTACGCGAGACAAAATGTGTCCTACATTTATGAAGGCAAAATTATGCTTGACTCTACACTAATCACAACTATGAGCACAAATTAAAGTTAATTTATTTAAAATGTAATTGTCTAAAGGCATGTTCACGCCAAGAACAATAAATACAACCACAAAGTTGTAAAATTGTTCTAAATTTAAAGGGGCAGTCACGTTTAACACTGTTTGGTGAATATTTTTGAAGGCGAAATCCAGTCGTTTCATTTCGAATTCACATTATCTGGATTTCTGCACAATTTTTTTCGAGCACAGGTTTGAAAGTGATCGTAACAATTTTGTCGACAGACAATCAACCTTTTTTGCCCTCCAAATGTCACCAATCTGACCACCATTTAAGAGAAGAGCAGACTCTACAACATTAAATATAATGGCACAGAGGAAATATATAATTGGAATCACTTTCAGAGCGTTTTCAGATTGTCTGTTGGTGTGAAGGCTAAGATAGTTATCACTACAGTTAGTGTTCTTGGTGTGAACGGGCCTTAAAGCCTTTTCTGCTGGGCAATTGCACAAGCTGTTGTAGTTTAACTCATAAGATTTATTATATTCTAATTGCAAGAGGTACAGACTCTCATCTAAGCCATCAACCTCAGCTTCATTTCTATTCTGCTCTGATAAAATGTCCTTGTTTGTGTGACAAACTGAATGTATTCAGCGTGTCTCCCTAAAGAGCAGCAAGACTGCCCCTTTCCTCTTTATCTCAGGTGACGGTCATGTTTACATTAATTTTATAATTGCCTGCACGAAACATCTGAATAGGAACAGCATTGTACACCCACGCCCACGGCTCTGACTACTCATTGTACCATTTTGCCAAATGAATTGCAGCCCATCTTCCAGACAAAAGCCCTGAAAGCGTTTCCGACACTTTGTTGCCTGGTCTGCTCGGAAACCTGGCCAACTGCACAAACCAACTCCCTGTAAAGCTTCCATTGCAGAGGCACTGGACATTCCTTCAGGACAGCTCAATGGAAATTAATTTTGCACAGAAATATCACAATGCACTCAAAAAGAATCCTTATCGCAAAGCGGTAACTCTGGCAGCAGACAAAGGAAGCAATCTGAGGAGAGGAGGAGGAGGATGAAGGCACTGTTTCATTCACAGGACACACTGCCCTCCTCCAGCACTGGAGCGTGGACCCCTCGATCACTTCCTGTCTACTCTATCCAAACCATCATTATATCCTCTGGGCTCCAGTGGTGTGGATGGGGGTTGGGTAAAGCCATCGAAACTAAGACATAAATGACAAAGAAAATGGCACCTCATTTAAAACTGGTAGGGTAATGATTAAAATGTAAACTAGCTCGAAATTAAAATGTTGTTACTGTTTAACTATATGCTGTTCCAAAACTGTACTTTATTCATGTTGATATTTTCCATGACAACAATTCATAATGTCAAGTTCCAGAAAAACAGCGATAAACTATCGTAGCCCATACAATTTGTGCATAGCACATTATATTTCAAGTCTTTTGAAAAAGTCATATGGTAGGTTTATCAGAGTAGCATAATTTAATTTATTTATTAATAAAGACCAGACCAAAGCTGATTAAGCCAAAATCTAACTGAACACTAAAGAAATTACAGTTGGATGATTTTAACTGCTCTGTGAAACAACATTTCCTCTGAAATTTCAGTTTCTGAGATGAAACAATCTGCTACCCATGTGCATTTCCAATAGGATGGTGAAGATGCATGAAATGCATGAAAATCAACAGTACTTTCATTGTCCTGCAACAGAAATAAAAGACAGAATGCAGGATATTTACCAACTTTACTTGATGCTGACAAGGAAAAACAGAAAGGTTAAAGTATTTAGAAGAACAAAGATTTGAGGGCAACATTAACTTTTTTTTTTTTTTTTTGCACGGCATCCAAACAATGTACTGTAGAAAACTGCTACTAAAGAGAGAGGGGGAAAAATGGCCAATGGTCAGACTATCAATGATATGGTACCCTCTGTAGCAACAAGTTATTTGAGGCCACTTGTATCAACTAATCAGGACTAATTTATTTAATAATAAAAATGATTCATAATTATGATTAATTCATAATTAGATTTGGCCCCACTTTATATTAATTGGCCTTAACTACTATGTACTTACATCAAAA